ATCAGCTATAGGAACACCATTTACAGAGTTCAGATTTGATCCTGATTGCTTCAACAAATCATAATTTCCAGGAAAATAGAAGGAAATCACCTTTGTGTGGCATTTTCAGGCTTTCATTAAGCAGTGACATCTCATATATTTAGAGTTATGTCATGACTTCAGCTCCCTGACTCTCTATGTTGGGAAAGCAAATAAAGATCTACCTAGTTAAGACATGCCCAGAATAGCATTTCAAGACTAAGTAAAACTGATCCTATAACTGAGTTCAGCACACAGAAGACAACAAGAGGAAACAGTTAAATCCTGTCTGAAACACAAAATAACGATTCAATTTTATAGTTCTGAAAAGCAGCATGTATTATAAGCATACACATCCATGGCAGTTTTATCTGAAATTTCAGTGATGACTAAAGTTTTTACGAAACACAATCCTTTGTCACAGGAAAGCATGGGAGAGACAATAACAGCATGACTGAGAACTGTAAGGCGCTTGCTAGGATGGAGTTTTATACGGATCACACGCGTCCCACACAGCGCGGCTTGGGGAAAGGATGTTCACAAGGGCTGATATAGCAACTGTAATTTCTAAGACTCTGTTTCATGATCTCAGAGATGGAAGGTGATGTGTTTCCATTACAACTATTTATTCATTTATTTTTAAGATCAAATATTTAGGGCTCACTTGGAATTTAAGGCGCGGTTTCAAACTGTTGCTGACATTTGGATGACTGCATCCAAACTTCTTCAGTTTTACCTGTAGGTGAATCATCACGATTTTTCCCACTGCACTGCCCAGAGTTGACTGATGGATTCCTACAAGCACGGTTTGTTGCTATGGTCTCTTAAAGGCCCATTCAATTCAAAAAGCAAGTGAAATTTTGGGAAAGTGATTTTTCAGACTATGGAAAACATAAAAGACCCAAAACATTGCGACTGACAACAAGTAAAACTCCAAGTTCCTCTGTACTAGCTTCGTCCAGCAAGAACTTATTTGTCTTCTTTAATAAAACTGTGTCATCAATCCTCTTCAGATTAGCTCTTGCTCTAGTAATATTTTTTGGTTTGTGATTTTTTTTTTTTTTCTGAAGAACTGCAATGAAAAAGCATGTTCAGACTCGAGTCCTTTTTAGCAGTCATCATAAAGCAGGAAAAACAACAGCTTTTACAGTACAAAACCAGGAAAACACTCCAGGTAAATTGTCAACAATGACTCATAATTCCTTCTATCCTGCTCACATAGCACTACTACTGAGTCACCACACTGCTTTCAAGCCATTCCAGTGAGGACAAACAACAAGAAATAAATTAAAAGTTGGTGGTTTTTGTTTTTTGTGTTTTTTTTGCTAAATTGAGTTCTGTATCTTACTGAGAAATGGATCCTAATAACCATGTATTGCTCAGCACTTCCAGGCCTAATGATAGCGTGGCCATTTGCTCAGTCTTAATGGCTCATTCAGTTTGACCGGGCTTTCTGAACCACCCAGAAATTACTTCCTTTTATCCACAAATCCAATAGGACTGAAGGGGAAGTTCTGAATTCTGGAAGAGTTCTATCTTTTATGCATGGTAACACTGAACATTTGGATATGAAGATACAGAGAATCAAATTTCTAATCTACCACATCCCATAAGGAACACTGGGCAATTATTCTTTAAAAAAAATAATCTTAACTTGCTTACAGGTACACCAACAAACATTTCTCAACAACGCTGTTATTGCAGATATTGCCACAGGACACAACTAAGAACTGAACTCAGCAGAAAGTCTTCTTCTAAAACCAACACTTCAATTTCTGAAAGTTTTACACCAATTTTCTTCAATTTTTCTGCAGGCTATTATGTTAATTAATAACTTGTGTCCCTCCTTCTACATGCTGCTGCTGTTTGTTGGCTGCACGCACCTTCTTTTCTGTGTGAATGTGAGAACAAACCCAGTGAAGTATGTTTAACCCTATTACTGTAAGGAGGAAAAGGAGGGATGTCAACAGGAGAAATCCCTACTTGTCAACATACTGGAAACACAACCTCTGTGGGGAGCTACACAGAAGATCTGATGCAAAAAGGAATAAAACCAGCCCCTATCCACAACTATGAAGAAACGTTTAAGTCGGCGTGTCGGTTGAGCGCCATTTCTCAGACATCATCTTCACCTTGCTGCAGAGACAAAGCCAACTGCAGAAAGCACAAAGCATTTCATTGCAACATTTTCACAGCTTTTTAATCCCCAACTCACAGTCACCAATAACACTTAGCGTGTGTGTTATGGGCTACATAGGTCAGACCCCAGGATCAGAGACACCTTTTGGGACCTCTGAAACACTGAAGCTCACAGAGATGTGATCAGAACAGTGCTAGCGTGGGGTGCCAGTACCTGGCCCTGACCCAGCATTCAGGTGAAGTCAGCAGCTCAGTGCCCTGTTTAAAGTACTGAAATTAGTCATGAATTTCTGAATCTCTGCCTCAGTACTATTTGTTGATATAGGAACTTAGAACACAGGAAAAAATACAATAGAAGCTGTAAGTGAAGACTGCTTGCTTGAGAAGTGGAAATAAATAAAATGGACCACAGAGCGCTCTCTATTTTAAAGGAAAAATGCAATTTCCTTCTGTTGCTACATTTACCAAATCACTAAGATCCTTACAGTCATGTTTTCTGAGGAATTCAAGTTGAGTGAGAAGTTTAAACTGGAAACCAAAGTGCTCTTAAGGGTGTTAATGTATTTTCTAGGTAACACGATGCATTTTAGCTCTTCCCCAGGTAATCTAGAGAATTGCAGAATTCTGCAGACAGGCAGGAATGCAGAGAAAAGGTGCAGAAATGTGTTTGATATCATAAAGGTCACATGATTTCAGGAAGATAAAGAAGCAAATAATTGGGTGCCCTTGCAAACTGCTCAGACAGATAACTTTTCTTTTTTTTTTTTTTTTTTGTGCCAGAATGATATCTTCTACGTATTGCATTATGAGTCAAAATATTTCTCCATAAAATACAGTGGCAAGCTCTTCTCTGAAATGTTATCTTGATGCCTTTTGGTTTCGCTTGATGATATTCTTTGATGGCTCAAATTGCTCTAATTTTTTAGCATTTATGTCTGTTTTACAACTGAAGATGTGATATCCTCTAGTGCATTAGGCAAATGTCTTTTGCTAGAGATTTAAATGCCTTGGGAAAAAAAAGACAACACTTCAAATTAAGTTTGAAGTATTCTACTCAAATTTTGTGACTGAGAAAAATAACTAGATACTATCAATCTATTTTCTCATCTTATTTAGAATGAGATTGATTTTTCCTGTAGCAGTATGTGTGCGCTGAAAATTAAAGATGCATTCAAGATCTGACGATGATGTATTTTATACAGTACACAGAAAGCCTTCTCTTCTCCCACCCACAAGTATATGGTATAGAAGTAGCCAATTGCAAACAGAGGAGTAAATAAACTAACTTGACATCCCAGGGAGAAGGAATGTGTTCCCAGCAATTATTTCAGAGCCTACAGAACTTGGTGTAGTACAAATAAAGGTTCCAAGTACTGTCCAGCCTGTTATAGTAGAGTTCTAGCACAGGCTGCTGTCAGTGGAGGACTGATTCGCCCTTCGTGGGTATGGAAAAGCAGTCCATCACAACAAACAAACAAATGAGCAGATTTTTATTCTTCCTTTCATTCTATGACGTAGGCAGGTAAAGCTTTATTCATTGCTTTTAACTCACTGCTTTTCCTTTAAAAGGGCTGCTAATATAGAATTTGAACGACACTCCTCAGGTCCTCCTGTTATCTTGATATGAGCACCAGACAGTCTCTGACTGATAAAGATGTCCCAGCCTGGGAGAGCGGGACCACAGGCACTGGGGCTGTTATGGCAGACAGGCACGGACACAGCTCCCCAGTACAGCAGCAAATGAACTCACATCTGCTGGCACTGAAAGCAGAAATCATTCTTTGAGCCTCTATCCATGGCGGCCAGAGCCCATGGGGCAGAATTCCCTTCATTATCCCACAGACATTCCAGAGAGCTTTGGTGCACAGCACAGTGCCATCGCTACGGCCTTAGTGCTGCTGGTACACGGCAGCCACGGGCACTGTGCCGGCCCTGGTGCCTGCAGGTGCCAGGTCTGTGCGAGGCACACACCTTAAACCCCCTGCTATCTCGTCCCACTTAAGGGCAGTGCTGGCAGCAGTCTGAGCAGCCTTCCCCACAGCATTAGGCACAGGCCGTTCGGCTCTGGGGCAGCACCAGCATCACTCCGATGGAAGGGTCTGACCAGAGGAGTGCTCCTGTCCCCCTGCCCCAGCTCCCATCCCTTGTGCCTCAGGACTGGGCGCTCTCTGGCATTAACACTTTCAGCTTTGCAGCATTAACTTTCAGAAAAGCCTTTATCCATGCCTGTGCTCAAACCGTACTGCAGAAGAGGTCTCTATGTGAACAAGTACCTGTTAACAACGAGCAAGTTACCTGATCGGTACAGAGCTCTGGTAACGCAGGGTTTCGCATGACAACAGCGCTATAAATCTCATGCTTTTTCTCTGACAGAGGCGGATTTCGTTGTCAAATCTTTTTTGTTTTTTCCTTTTTTTTTTTTTTTCCTTTTCTGTTCGCAGCTTTAGCAGTCAACGTGTAAAGTTTGCGGCAGCCCCGAGCTCGGCGTGCCTGTATTTCAGCCCTCGGAGCAGGGTCCTCCCCAGAAGCCGACGCCAGCACCGAGCGACCCAACCGAGCCCCCGCCATCCTCCCTCCCGCACACCGACCCCTTTCAGCAGCTATTTGTCCGTGTCCGCTGTCAGACACCGCTCCACGCGAACCCGTCCCCCCCTCCCGGCCCCGGCCCCGCGTCCCCCGGGCCGCCGCGGAGCGCTCCGACCGCCGGCGCGGTGCCGCAGTGCCGCCCGTTGCGGTGCCGCTCCGCTCCCGGCGCTGCGGCCGCCCCAGCCCGCTCCCCCAGCACTGCAGCACTAACAGCCCCCCCCTTTCCCCCCCCGGCGCCCCGCACAGCCCCAACTCACAGGATCTCCAAGTCGCGCAGGGCGCGGAAAGCTCCATCCTCGATGCAGCTGATCTGGTTGTTGTCCAGCTGCCTGCGGAGAGGAAAGGAGAGGGTGAGGGAGGGCAGAGCCGCCCGGAGCGGGGCCGGGTGTCCCCGAGGCGGTGCGGGGCTCTGTGGCTGTGCCAGCGCTGCACGCTGCGCCGGAGCCTGGTAGGTCTCAGTAAATATTAATTGCGCCTTTTTTTTTTTTTTTTTTTTTTTTAAAGGCAGAAGGGAGTAATTTCATTACATTAGGGCATCCAATCCATTATGAGCTTTTACCGTCATGTCAGTGAAACAATTTCATTAAGCTAAAGGCCTGTAAATCATTGGAGGTCACCGGGCTGCCCTCCGTGACCTCCCACAATGCCTTTTCTTCTTTTACTGGAAGTTGGAGTCCTCTGTCCTGACAGTACTAAATCTCTCTGCTTTATCTGCCCGAGAGCTGTGAGAGCGAACAGGGAATACACCAGTTCCAAATTAGACTCAACTAATCTAATTTTATAGTCTTTTTATTATTCTAAGCACCAAATGTCTGTGGTGGTTCGATGCCTCCGCGCATTGTTACCGGTCCCATCTGGTAGCCCATTCTATTGAAAGATGTCTGAGTGAATGCAAAGCCTGCCTAACCGCATCAGGGAGCGCGGCCGCGACACGGAGCATCCGCGCACGGACACTCACAGCACCATGCTGCTTCCTAATGTCTCGTTTAATATCTGGAGTGCGGGCTTCTCCCATTTGTTTCCCTGCACGTGCACACGCATTACAATAGGTGGGGATGCAGCAGTACAGGTACATCTGCCTCTCTTGTTAGAAAATTACAGTTGTAAGTGGTAATCTAAAATTTAGCGCTTACATTTTCAGACATCTGATCTCTTGAATGTTACACCTACAGAAATACACCTGTGTACCTACTCATGTGGAAGCACAATGCCTGCACCTCAAACAAAAACCGGAGCACACTCTTGGCTCTGTTTGCTCCACTGACACTGAGTGACCCAGGTGTGTCCAGGTGAAGACCAAAGGGAAGTTGCCCTTGGTCTGGTCCCAATGAACATCGGGATTTTTATGATTTCAGTGCATGAAGTATCACACAAGGTCTGCTAAAAAGTATAGCAAGCATAAAGGCAGCTAAGGTTTCTCATCGCTCTCGTATCTTTGGAGAACATGCTGAATTTGGCAAAACTTCCAGCAATATCTCCTATACCAACATACACCAGGATGTAAAATCATCCAGAAAGGATTCTGTAGCATGACAGTTCATGCATTTTTAAAATATATATTTATGTAATTACATACATATTTATTTATGTTCTCTCTGCCTCTCCCACCACCCCACCAAGGTGACAACAGCTATGTGCATCCAACTGCTGAGATAACCAAGTGGCTGCTGAGTGACTTCTTCCAAGATCGCTGTTTAATTGAGTGGGTCGTTAGCATTTTTTTGCTCAGATGGGAAGAATGGTGGATTTCAGGAGGAATAAACTTAGGATGAGTTAAATATAACTCTGGTTGCATGACTAAGTACTTTACACTTCAGTTGGCTTTATTAAGCATACTTTATTAAGCATAAAGCTGGCACATGCTAGAAAGATGAAGAGAAAGCAGGAGCAATTTGAGAACCACCTCTCTCTTTCTTTCTACAAGAAGTATTATATATTGCCTATTTTTATTTGAGTTACACTGTAATATTGATTTTTCTGCCAGATACACTAAAACAAGCAAATAAACCCAGCATGCTACTCACAGGGCCTTCTATTAAAAAGCTTCATACGCTGTGCATTGCTTTCCTAAAAAATGCTCCTCTCATAGATTGATTTTTGTTGAAAAAGCACAATAACCTTAATCATGTTTCTATAGGCCCAGTCACGCTAATGCTAACAATGAAGTTTAGCCTATGTAAATAATCCACAGGACTACTGTAAGGGAAACCTCTAGATACAGCAGAATACCTGAACGTAGCAGGATGCTCAGTAAATTAGGAAAATACTCATTATAGATGTCACTTGATACTCAATGCAGCCTGGTTCTTCTACACCATGAATTAAATCTATGTCTCTGGGAGGCACCCACGTGTGTAATGCTCCCTGTGAGCAGCAGGGCTCCTGACTCCTGACACCCACTACGACCAAGCACTCAGTTCTGTGCTTAACTTTAAGCATGAGAATTTCTTCCCGGAAGGAAAGGATTAAAGATATTAGTTGTCTTGAAATTAAGCATGTCTCTGTTTAAGACCCTTTACCTCCTAATGCATTTGTCTGTTCGTAAAAGTAGAAATTCAGTTTCTTTGCATGCACATAGCAGCCTGTGAGAGGCTGAGCAGAGACTGCAGATTTTAGAGTTCAGAATCTGAACAATGGCTTCCTACCAAGACAACATGTTAGTTCAAAGTTTGAGAAAAACCTCACGTACAGCCCTACAGAAAGCCAAAGCTGGGTGTTCAGCATATCCTTGTATATCCATGAAGGCAGAATAAAATGCACATGACATGGGCCAGCAGCCAGACTGTATACTCAAGCTGGGTTTGCTGTGCTCTTCAATGCCCAGAGCAGAGTGTTCAACATCCACTGAGAAGAACAATGATATGCAGAGAATGTAGAAATTCAACTTCAGAAAAATGTGAAATTCAGCATTCAAGAGCAGCTGGACATGCATTTCCTTGAGGCATGTGCAACACCACTCCTGTTTCCTCATTGCTGCCTTCTGCATGGGCACTCACCCCTCCCAAGCACCACATTACAGAGACTGGGTCAGCTCTCTGGTCTCATAGACATTGAAAAAATGGTCTCAGCCAGCAGAAGCATTTATTCAGATTTAAACATTACTTCCATTTGTCAGAGCTCTTACTCTCTATAGAATAATTTTGTCTCTTCAGTATTTGTCATGTATGCAGTGGTGTAATGCGGTGGCCAAAAAGAGAAGCCAGATGAAACTAGCTCAGATTTTAGTCACCATTTTTCATTGAACAAGGTTAAGTTCTGTACTTTTGCTCACTTCCTGCCTTTTGCAGGAATCCAGCTCTCATCTCAGGCTCTATCTATAACTACCAAGTCATTTAACTACCTCTGAAGGAAACACCTGTTCTCATGTTCAAAAAGTGTTAGAAGAGTGCGTGCAATGAATGAAGACACAAAGACGGAGCTGTGAGAGACAGCCAGACAGCACGGCTGGGACGGCTTGGTAGGAAGCCATTGTTAGAGCTGCAAGGCAGGGGATGAACAAGAAAACATGGCCAAACTTTGTGCTTCCAAGTTTTTGCTGGGTTAGATGGATCTGTAACATTTTTCTGGGTGAAATCACGTGTCTGGGTGCCCGTGCTGAACCTCTCATACATGAAGCCCAGTGCTGGGATCCTGGCAGGCCAGCACACACACACAGCTCCCCAGCCTGAGCCCAGCAGGGGCAAATGGGCAGCAGGCAGTGCAACAGCTACAAAGAACAACGCTAGGAAACCCCAGAGAGTGGAGCAAACACATAGGAAGGAAAACATCTAGAGGGCACGTGGGGTTTACATGACATGTGACGCAAATGCTTGCAAATAATGCTGGAATGTATAAAATGGTCTAGAGAAAAAGGCTCCTTTCATCTGGTAGAGATGCCATAATAATGCCATGTGTATCCAGCTTCATGACTACAAAGCTCATCTCTGTATCTATTAAAAATTATGATAACCACATGACTAAATTACATGCAATAAATCATTATCTATGCTTAAAATTCATATTCCAGAGGAGAAAAAAGATTTAAAGCTAAAAATGAGACATCACCTCTCCATGAAATGAAAAGTAACGTTGCACCCATTTCTTTCACAAGATGCTCTGTGGTTTAGGTAAGCCTCTGCTCTAACTGATAAAATACCATTTCCCTGTGTAACACTCTGGCTTAGCCATTTAGATTTGAATGTTATCTCTCATATTGAAGAGTTACATTTCAAATAACATTTGGAAGGAACAGGGTTTTACAATGCTGATATTATTTTTGCCAATTGAAACAATCCTTTAAATAGGAAGATTTAGAATTTTTGCTCCCAGCAATAAGAGCATTTAGTTTTCAAATGCCTTTGAGAGAGAAAAGTCAACAACGAAGATACAGTAATTTTTATCATGGTACTGAATTTAAAAAACAACAACAAACAATCCAAACTGCAATAAAATATTGAAGATTTGAATTAATGCAGTAAAAACATCCCAAACTGAAATTATCTCATCTTTTACTAACATTGAAAGTCAGTTAATGCTTAAAAATCATAGAATCATAGCATCACTACGGCTGGAAAAGACCTGTAAGATCATCCAGTCCAACCATCCACCTATCACCAACATTTCCCACTAGAAGTCCACACAGATGTGTACCTAGCAGCTGTTACTCACGTAACACCAGGTAACCTAACATGGTGTTTTTTCAGCAGTTTGCCATACTCTGATACCTGGAGACATCCTTCAAGTACCAAACACTGAACATCCCAACAGTGAGAGGTGAGATCAGTGTTTTGTACTTCATTTCAGCTTGGGTTACTTTTTGTTGGCTGGTTAGTTGTTTTCTTTCTGATGCACTGCAGAGATCAAGCGCTCATCTTGTTTTTAATTACATCGTGACAGTAATTTAATTAATACAACTTCTTTGTATGTTTTCTCCAGAACCTAGTTAACTTTTAAATAAAAGCCCACTTTAACCAGCAGTGTGATGAATACCTATCAGATGCTTTTGTTTATCATATTTGAGATGTTTACCATACAAAGAAGTGCTGTAGACTACTTGTGTATTTCAGAAAGTTCTTTGTCACAGATGGGAGATTACGACTGTTCTACATACCTGCTGTTCTAGATCTGAGCTTCAGCATTTCCCAGTTAGTAAAATACTATATTGCACATTTATCCAGGAGTATCCATGTTAAACATATCACCCTGCAAACATGTTTAAAACGGATGACTTTTCAATAGCCACTTCAGCAGAATTTAAATCCACTGCAACATACAGAATTGTAGTTGGAAAAGAACTGGATTTTGCTAATTAAGTCTCCAATGGAGCCTCAGTTTGGACAGCATTTTCCCC